TATATTATCGTGGTATTTAGTATTTATGATATATTATGATCTGATATTCTTTATGTAACATTATAAATACCATACCATGATTCTAACGATTGAAATATTTTATGTATTTTATTTTTCTTAATTTACCGGGTTCTGTAACCTTAGACAGAACCTTGCCTGGGCGCCACCTCTCGGAGATCGTGAGGATTCCTATCTCAGTTGGGTTCAAATACGTTTGACCTAATTTGACTAATTTCTGTTTACCTGTATTTTATAAGTATATAAATAAATAATAAATCATAAAAAAATATCTTTATTTAATTAAACATGCCTGTTAAATTAGAGAATGAGAATAAATCAAATAAATAGGAACTAAAAATAACTGTAAGTAAGTAGAATTAAGCATTTACATTTCCCCCGTTTTGTCAAAGTAAAGTGTCGAATCGAATAATACAAATAATATGAACAGCTGTGCGCTGTGCACTTGCATAACTCGTGAAATGAAATGTTATGAATAAGCTTAATATTGTTGGATATTTTATGGATCAGGAGAATATTTACTGGTAAGTGCTTATTATCAATTATTTAATATTAAACTTATGATTTCAATTAACGTATATGTGAATAATAATAAAAAACATGTGACATAACCTACGAATAATATTTACAACTTAATATTTACAAAATCTTATCATTTAAAATAAGTCTGTTATAACGCGGAAAATATGATCATATTTATTTATTTATTTATAGTGTTTGGTACCTGTTATCACTGGGGCACAAAATCACAGGAGAATCACAGTCAGTCTTTGTTGGAATATGGAGTGTGGAAAACATAAAGGAAGTCTGTGGAGTTGAGATTTTAGATTCTGGAATTCATGGGTTGGATGTAAACAGGGCTCAGGATGATCTCCAAAATTCTATCTGCCTTTTCACCTACCGTATGAGTTCACCGGTGTTTCACTTTCTACAACGTAAGGTCCTTCGAATGAAAAAAATAGCTTTTTGGTTAGTCTCTCTCGAGGTCTGGGTACTCGTAAAGATTTTATTATGACTAGATCTCCTTTTTTAAATTGTATAGGGTTTTTTATGCTTTTTCTTTTCCGTTTTAAAAATTTCTCAGCACTCCTCTGTAATTTCTTGTTTACTTGATCTATTGTTTCCTTGTAATCTTTGATATTTTGACATGTCCAAGGTCGGTTAGGGTGTATATTCTTCATCAGGTATTGAGGTGTTTCTTCAGTAACAGTGTTGGGTAGGTGGTTCATGAAATTTTCTATTTCTTGCAATTTACTGTCCCATTGGTGATGTTCATTATGCACTATTATTCTTAGAAATTTGATTACCTCCTTGATGTATCTTTCAACAGGATTGGCATTAGGATGCCTTATGCTTGTGTATCTAGGTGTTATTTCTTGGAGTGTGAGAAAGTTTTTCAGTCTGTTATTATTTAGATATGTGGCGTTATCCATTATGCATGTTTTAGGCTTGCCGATTTCTTTTACATAATCCTGTATACAGTTCTTTACAGTTTTAGTGTTCGTCTTCTTACATGGGTATAGCTTTATGAATTTTGAATAAATGTCCAAGATTACAAAGATGTGTTTATTGTGGTTGTCAGTCTTAACCAAATTTGTAATGAAGTCAATTGATATTATGTGTAGTGGTTCTTGTGCTGTAATTGATTTGGGTATGTTTTCGTTATGTCTGTTTCTTTCCTTCGCCAATTGACATACCTGACACTTGGATGTGAGTGTTTTTGCTATGGCCGTGTCTTTCTTTGTAATAAATGTCTCTCTAAATAGCAACCAAAGTTTTCTGGATCCCGGATGTCCATATTCTGTATGTAAGTATGACATGACTTTGTTTGCGAATTCATTTGTAATCACGTAAAGTTCTTGTCCACGTAGTTTCTTGTAGTAAAATTGTCCGTCATGGTTAGTGTGTCTTTTTTGTTTGTTCGTCAGTTTGTCTTGGTCATTTCGTATATTCTCATCAGTAAATATGGGGTGTATGTTTTTCATTGTATTGATTCCCACTGTAACTTGTTTATTCATCATTCGTTTGTCCATCCTACTGATAGAATCACTAATGATATTTAGTTTCCCCGGTACATGCCTAATGTCAAATGAATATTCCTGCATCATTAGTGACCACCGATGTATCCTGCTATTCCCAAATTTGTTGTTCAATAGTGGTATTAACGCATTGTTGTCTGTCTCTATCGTAAATCTTCGGCCTAATAAATAAAATTTTAATTTTTCCACATAGTAAATGATACTTGCAAGTTCAAGTTCGCTACTGCTGTAGTTCCTTTCGTGTTTCTTCGTTACACGAGATACAAATGTGATGGGAATTTCCTTTTCATCCTGTATCTGTAAGTACACCTGCGAATCTCTGTACTGACGCATCTGTTTTTAATATAAAGTCTTTGTTGTAATCGGGGTAATAAATCCTTGTGTTTTGTACGAAATGATTTTTAATATTTATGAAACCTTCTTCATGTTCAGTAGTCCATTTCCATTTTGTTCTTTTTTTTAATAGTTCTAGGAATGGTAGTTCTCTTTTAGTGATATCAGGTAGTAACCTTTTGAAATAATTTATTACTCCTAGAAATCCACGAAGCGTTTTTTAATTATGGGGTCTTTTATATTCCTGGATAACCTGTAATCTGTCTGGGTCCGTAGATACCCCCTCTTGGTCTATTTTATATCCTAGAAATATTGTTTCTTTCTTAAAAAATTCACATTTGTCAATATTTAATTTTAATCCAGCCTTGTTTAATTCTTTTAACACTATTTCTATATGTTTTAGGTGATCCGTCTCGTTTTGGCTGAAAATCAAGACATCGTCTACATAGTTGAGTATAAAAGTCTCATATTTTCCAAGAATGGAGTGTAGTGCTCTAGCCAGTCCTGCACTCGCACTTTGTATCCCGAAAGGCACTACTGAAAAACAATACACCACACCGTCTATGGAGAAACCTGTATACATTCTACAATCTTTATGAAGTGGTATTAGCCAAAAGCTGTGTTTTAAGTCTAACTTAGAGAAAAATTTTGCGTTTGTAATTCTGCCCAATAAATGTTGCATAACTATAGGTTGTTCATATTGTGGTATAGAATGTTTATTTATTGTTCTAGCGTCAAAGCATAATCTAATATCGCCATTTTTCTTTTTGACTATTACAATTGGATTAATATAAGGTGTATCTGAGTATTCAATTATATTTTGTTCTAATAATTTATTTAATTCTTTTTGCAACTGATTTTTGTAATGATAAGGAATGGGATAAGACTTGTTTTTAAAATTATCAATGGGTTTAACTGTAAATCGATGCACATAGTTTTCTGCAACTCTAGGTGTGTTTGAAATTAATTCCATATTTTCATTGATCAATATTTTAACTTCTGCCTGTCTATTTTCAGAGCAGTTTATATTAATTTCATTTATATTTATTATTTCATTAAGCTTATTTCCATCGTTATTTTCATTTTTCATATAACTTTCTTTATTTTCTACATCACTTTTTAATATCTCATTAACATCACTTTCACCTATTTTTGTGTAACTATTTGCATTGATACTTTCAACTTTGTTTATTTTTATATTTTCATGCAAGTCTATCCATTCATCATTGATTCTTAATCTTTGTTTTTCATAGTCAATTATTACTTTGTGCTTGTTTAGTTGGTCTGAACCTATAATTATGTCCGTTCGTAGGTTAGGTGTCACTAATAGATCTAACATTGTTAATTTTTGTTTTATTTTTAATTCTACACATACTATTTTCGTTACTTCACACATTTTTCTATTATTAGCACTGACAATGTTTACCTTTGGTATTTTAATTGTATTTTTAAATAATAAAGGAAATTTTTCCACTAAAGTTTGGCTAATTAAACTGCCCTCTGAACCGGAGTCGATCAATAGATTAACATTTAAATTACTTAAGTTTGCTGTAATTATTATTAAATCAAATTTGTCATTATTGCTGATTTCTTGCATATCATCAGATTGTAAAAAGTTTTTAGGATCTTCATATAGGCATGTAGTTTTTTAATTTGGGAAAGTGCATATCTAAAAATGGGAATTTTCATCACCATTTATCTCCTCACTGTTTTTCTGGTTTGGCGAGCTACCTGTATTGTTTTCAAAATGTCTTGTTTGTCTGTCATGGTTATTATTATTATTGTTATATCTAGAGTTACTTACCTCGTTTTCTAAGTTCCTACTTCTTTGTCTATCTATACCCTGGAAATTCACTCTTCTAGTGTGTCTTCTATCAATTGAATTTTCCCTGTCTCGCATTTGGTTTGTGTTTGTTTGTCTGTCTGTCATGATTGTTATTGTTGTAGTTATAGTTTTGATTTCTGTTATTATATCTGTAATTATTATTGTACCTTTGTGTGTTAGAGTTGTAATAATCCCTGTTATCGTTGTTTTGTCTATGGTCGGTCATATTATTGTCATTTCGTCTGTTGTTATAGTTTCTGTTATTATTGTTATTTTGGTTATTGTTTTGGTAGTTACCATAGTTGTTTTTTAATTGATACCTCTGATCATATGTGCTCCTTTCAATGCGCATTAAATAGTTGTTAAGTTGTTCCATTGTTTTAATGTTTTGTATGGCTACTGTTTCCGTTATTTGTGGTTTGAAGTGTCTGGATAGTAGTATTACTGCCTCTGCTTCAGGTATACATGGCTCTAAGTACTGTACTTGGGCATATAATTGCATGATATAAGTATTGGGACTTGTACCTCTTCTCTCCTCAAATTTTCCAAATTGTAGTCGTTCCCTAATTAATGATTGCGTAACCGTTTTCCAGAAATACGCTAATATTTGCGTCTCAAATTCCTCAAATGTGTTCAAGCCTGCCTCTTTACTTGAAAACCATATCAAGGCGTGTCCTGTCAAATGATCTCTGAGTATCTCTTTCAACTTTTCACTATCTGTGACATTTTTGATTCTATTTTTAATTTATATTTATAAATACTTTAGGATGAAGTTTTCTGATGTCCACATCGAATTTTAAATTACTTTCCCCATGACAAACTTGTACGTAATTCGTCTTTATAGTAGAGTCTGTCTTGATTCTTTCCAATTCTTTGAGTAGTTTCTCTCTTCCCTTTGTTGTTTCTCCATTTTCCTTATTGTTTCTTCTGTGATTCGCGAACCACTTCTATTTTCGTTTTTCTTCCAGTCTTCTTCTATCCGTTGTATTTTTTCTTCTAATTGCTTCTGTAACTTTTTCTGTTTTCAGGTTTTCTTCCTCCAAGATGCATAAGTTGACTTGTATACCGTTCTTTACTGTTTCCTCTACTTCTCTTAGTTCTCTATTTGTTGAAATTATTATTCTATCCATTTGTTCAATTTTGCTTTCTTGTGTGTCAATTTTTTTGTACAGTCTTTCTTGTTTTTTGTTGATCTTCTCGACGTGATTTTCCATCTTTGCTTCTAGTTTCTCCCATAATTCTTCCTTAATTTTATCTATTTGCTCTTCTACCTTCTTACTTTGTTCTTCCATTTTTATGCTCTGTTCTTCCATTTTCTTCTTCGTTTCTTCATTTTGTTCCATTATTTTCGTTAGCATCATCATTAAATTGTTTTCTTCTCCTTCTCCTTTGATTTTTGTCCTTCTCCAGATGATTCCACCTTCTTCTGCTCTTCTCTCTGTTTCTCTTCATTACTTTCATTCTTATCGTCCCCAATTATGTTTTTAGTTTTACTGCGCGTACCCATTATGTTTATTTTAAATTAAATGAAAATTTATTTTATTTAATAGTAAACAAAGACAATTATTGAACCAGCTTTAATATTTTATAATAAATATTTGTGTACACAATAATGACTTTACAGGTGCCCTACGTTGCTTGGTGCCATTTATCGTGGTATTTAGTATTTATGATATATTATGATCTGATATTCTTTATGTAACATTATAAATACCATACCATGATTCTAACGATTGAAATATTTTATGTATTTTATTTTTCTTTATTTACCGGGTTCTGTAACCTTAGACAGAACCTTGCCTGGGCGCCACCTCTCGGAGATCATGAGGATTCCTATCTTAGTTGGGTTCAAATAGGTTTGACCTAATTTGACTAATTTCAGTTTACCTGTATTTTATAAGTATATAAATAAATAATAAATCATAAAAAAATATCTTTATTTAATTAAACATGCCTGCTAATTTGGGAATGAGAATAAATCAAATAAATAGGAACTAAAAATAACTGTAAGTAAGTAGAATTAAGCATTTAAATTTCCCCCGTTTTGTCAAAGTAAAGTGTCGAATCGAATAATACAAATAATATGAACAGCTGTGCGCTGTGCACTTGCATAACTCGTGAGATTAAATGTTATGAATAAGCTTAATATTGTTGGATATTTTATGGATCAGGAGAATATTTACTGGTAAGTGCTTATTATCAATTATTTAATATTAAACTTATGATTTCAATTAACGTATATGTGAATAATAAAAAAAAACATATGACATAACCTACGAATAATATTTACAACTTATTATTTACAAAATCTTATCATTTAAAATAAGTCTGTTATAACGCGGAAAATATGATCATATTTATTTATTTATAGTGTTTGGTACCTGTTATCACTGGGGCACAAAATCACAGGAGAATCACAGTCAGTCTTTGTTGGAATATGGAGTGTGGAAAACATAAAGGAAGTCTGTGGAGTTGAGATTTTAGATTCTGGAATTCATGGGTTGGATGTAAACAGGGCTCAGGATGATCTCCAAAATTCTATCTGCCTTTTCACCTACCAATTTTACTTCAGGACTTCTGGTAAATACCTTTTATTAAGTTGACTTTTGGTTCTATCTTCATTTGTTTTTACATTGTTGAACTACATGTTTCTTTGGCAAGCGATTACACTCAAAAAGCCCCGTTCTACCGGCGAAATTGGTTTTATATAATCGCAATCTCATGGCCAACTAGATGCAATTTTCGATAATTTTAAATTTATTAGCCAATTCATTAAATTATTTTATATTTTCTTGGACTGATTCGAGTTCATAGAATTATGTAGTTTCTTTTTGTGATCATTTTAATATAAATTTGATGAATTATAAAATGCTTTTATTGTCGTTTTATTTACTTTTTATGTAATAATTTCATTATGTATTAATTAATCTTATTTGGAAATATCTATTTAATCTAATTTTACGCTTTAAAAGCCTTTTATATCCTTACATTTTACATGGGGTTTTTTAGGTTATGTTTGATGTTTAATTTGCTTATAGTTTAATAATTAAATTGTTTGATGTAACTTTTATTGTACCAGTTTTATCTAAGGGTTCCATACTTTGTTTTTATCATTCTCATTAGTGTCAGAAATTAGGTCAAATATGTTATTTTGGGCTGTAAAGTTGCCTTATGGCGTTTCAATGTTAGTTTTTAATATAAATGTTTTTCTTGAAATTCATAGGTTTATTTATTGATAAATTGTTATAAATGTTCTCCATCCTCCTCTATGGAAGGTTACACAGGCTATTTGGTTCGGTTACACAGGCCATTTAGTCCTGAACAATCGAATTTAGTTTCCCTCGGATTATGTACCATTATAATATATATCAAGGTATAAATATCATGATATATATCACTTGATATATATCCTCCAAACCCTGCAATAGGCCCACAAGGTTTCCATATCTAAACAGTTCCCACTGTCAGCATTTTGACAGGTCGTTGGAATGCCCAACTCTATTGTAGGTCTACCAAGGAAGTGCAGTTACCATTTTTAACATTAAAGCTAGAACTAAATGATATTATGAAACCTGCAAATATTTTTTGGAACAGTGAACAGTGTTATATATTTATAATGAATTCAAATAAAAATAAGTTTTGTCGTTTTCTTTATATTTATCAACTGCCTATTACCGTTAATCGAGTCTTTTAAAAAGATTTATTTATGATAAGACATTGACAGTTTACTGTATAGGTATAGTACATGCATTTACTCTTGTACAGTTATATATCTATTAGCTTTTGTTAAATCCATATTAATAATAGAAACGTATCTGAACACAATATATAATACATTAAAGTTTTTGTGCATATTGTAGGTAATTTATTTATACAGTCCTATTTAAAAAGAATACAATAAATAACAGGCAAGCAGTTAATAATATTTATTAGAATGACAATGCAATTCAAATTTTCAATTCTTTTTTGGCAGGGTTAGTTAAAGAGCCTTTAATAGAAATTTTAGGTGGTATATTTATGAGACACATCTTGTTTTATTGTCAAATTTTTACCCATAATTTTGAAATGGGTCCAGTTTTCTGCATCTTCTTCCACCTAAAAAAATAATGCAAACTAATTAGTACCTTCAGATTCGGTGTTAAGTATATTGGCCTACTAGGTACGTTTTATAAATTTATATCAAATTGGAAACAAAAACAATTAAAGAATATCTTTACTTACATCAAAATAAATATAAAAGCACGATGGTAGTTTGTGTTTTGCAACAGCCCTTAGTCCACTATTATTTTTGAATGTCGATCTAGGTCTAGATTTTGAGGAACTTTTATAAACATTTCATCAGATTGACTGTTTTTTTTTTTACTTCTCATAGGGACCAAGCACTTGAAAATATAACCAGATATTTGTAATGTAACGCAAAATTAAACAAATGTTTATTTTATCACACTTTTTAAAAGCAATTTCAATATTTCCCATAATAGATGTGAGGTTAGAAATTTTGACATTTTTGTATCATGAGAAAAGAAAACATAATTTTAATCCGATTTTAGAAAGAGATAACGATCAGAAATGTCACTATTAGAAAAAGATAACGATCAACTGTATGTGTTATGGTATCAGATTCTTTAGTGACCAATAGAAATAGGCGCTTCAATATGACGCGGTAAATGGTGCAAAAATAGAGTGTTGTAAATAATTGATTTAAAAGTGAACTTTTTAAAGTACTATAACTTTATTATCTATTTAAAGTATTTATTGCATGAAAAAAAAAGGTTTTTTGTGCTTAAACAGTAAATAGGCATTAGATTCGTTAAATTCGATTACAATAAACACGCCCATTAGTGGCATTTGTCTTCTAGAGAGTATAGCTATGAGAACTTTTTTAAGTTTTTATACTTGTAAGTATAACTTATACATATTTTTTATGGTAGTTGGTAGCATATTAAAAAAATTTAAACACATATAGAATCAACCCTTTTGTAATGCGGTCCGGGTAATTCAGAAGACAGGATTCAAAATAAAAGTATTTATTCTCTCTTTAAGTAACAATATAAAATATATTTAAAATAGTTTTCTTCACGACCCTCGGGCCAATAGACACGGCCTTTCGTTGTGTGTCGAACAGCTGGGCTCTCGACGAGATGTTCGCTGTAAAGTGCCTCTGCTAGGAAACGACGGTGTATCGCACGGGCTTTCTGAAAGTAAAATGTTAATCGGGTACGGACTTTACGTCGAAGACTCAACGCGTCTGTGACTGGGAAATAGACTCAACACGTCTTTTAGGAGAATAGACTCAACACGTCTATCAGGAATATAGACTCAACACGTCTATCAGGATATCGGTAAACTCAACACGTTTACCAATTGACAAACAACACGTTTGCCAGGAGGGGTCAGGAAATGAGAGGTACTCAGAACGTACTACTCGGGGGAGGTAGTGAATTCTTTCCAGCTCAGCTCGCCGGATGGAACTGCCAATTTGGATTTTTTTTTTTTTTGATTTATTAGTGGAAATCTTAAGTATTTTACATTTTCTAGGACATATTGTTTTCCTATTTCCCTGCTATAGGAGTTATCCTCCTTTTCAGGGTGGAAACGCCAATTTGGACGATTGCTTCTCCTTTTATACGGCGGTGGCAAGGGATACCCTCTCTCTCGCTTATTGAAGTGGAAGGGAACGCTCGACTCGTTGGATCGCCGCTTCGAGGTTTTGGGAAACCAGTGGCGTAGCTTTAGTAACGGTAATTTATTATCGTTACACATCCCTCCTCTTCCAAAAAAAATGACTTGTCATTTTTCTAACAACTACCTAAAACTAACCAAAAATAAAACAAAATAACGGATAATCCTCAAAACACCAAAATAAAACGTAAATTTTCTATCCTCTACTTCTTATCAGTATCTGATTCTGAGGTTTCGGTCTTTTAATCGGAGTCTATATGTAGACTTTTTCGTCTTCTCATGATCCTAATCTCAACTGGTACTAGGTTTCTGAAGGTATCACTGGCTGTTATTCTAATGGTACTGTTTAAAATGGCTGTATCTCGTTCTTGAGATCGGAAACGGTGTTTGATTCTCCAAACAGATGGTGCGTTTACATTATTGTTGCACAAACTGGTGTGACTAGCGGTTCTCAGGTATTCTGCGGTGTTTTCTTTATGATTTTCGGAGATCAATTGTTGCCTTTTCTTAACAGTTGGTTGCTTTTTCTCGGTCGGAATACAGACCTTTCATCGGTTAGATATTTCTCGTTACGATCATCTTTGTCCAAGAAATGCCTGTAATTGTCTCGTAACACGTAATGTTTTGGATTAATGAGAATGGACTGTATGTAATTTTATAAGTTTTATTTTAAACAATAATTTTCACTTGAAAATTTGTTACATGATAGCTCTATTACATTTGATGCTTTCTTGTCTACCACGAAAGCTTGTCTGGTTTTTGTTCCACGTAAATATGTTGCATTTTAAAAGTTTAAAATAATTTAGGATCAGGTGACATCAGAATAATGAATATATTGTCTCACAACTCGCCGCGATACAAAAACGGAGAACACATGCACTGTCTTCGGCGTCGTCACAATCAGGTCCACAGAGTTATT